ATCAGTAGAAATCTACTTTGACGTGGTCGAAGAAATCGACTCAATCTAGGACAGCCATAGCTGCTGCATTGCGAAGTCAGCGTCAAGATCAACGGCCACAGCGGTCTCTCCAGCGTCCTGGACCTCACCATCGTGTTTGTGGATATAAACTAAGGACTCGACTAAATCTCAACTTGCTAGACTGGCACTGCACGTCAGATGCGGCCGAAGGGGACGCACGTACCCTGCACGTGCATCTTCGTGTTGTTGACGGGCGTGGGCATGTTGCGGGTGCCGATGGAAATCTCTAACGTCCGGCAACTTGTCCGTGTACACTGTACTTGAACACAATGGACTCGACTCGATTGACCAAGTGACGCCGAGCCAATTCAACAAGCATCTCTGCTCCGTACAATGCAGTCCTTACACTGGCGTTGGATCTTGTGCGACGTTGTGAATTTGCAAACCATGAGCGAGGTTCATTCGTCTCGAAAACGTTCACCAATGTCAAATGCATAAAATACCACATTCTACAATGGCTTCCTTGCTGGAAAAACTGCTACTCCCGCAGGGTTTCGATCCAAGTACTTCTACCACCTCATAGCAAACGAGATCACGCAGAATAAGAATTCCAACTTTGTCTAAACTATTAACTAGGGTTAGACATCTATATTCGGGTGAGCGTGAGTGTTTTGTACTTCTACTTTCAAAATTTGAGCCCATGGAATCGCATTTTTCCAAATATGTGATTTGAACGGATTTTGTGTGAATTGGACTTTTTAGATGTGACGAAACCCTGCACTCGTTATACGTCAACTACCAAATCCCCGTAACATTAATGTCCTCGATGTCGCTGCGAGCGACCTGACCCACAATAATCCTGACAATCCTTTAGGCGCTACATGTGGCAGAGTTTAGTGTTCCGGCTTCCTCGACCGCGAATTGCAGCAACAGAGTGCGGCAGCTCCACCGGGGGGGGGTTACCGCCGTCGGCATCGATCGGAACAAAATGGTGCAGTGCGTGCTCAATGGCAAATGGTTCAGGACATGGGAACTTTAGCCGACGATCGCGGCAGTGTCACGGGTGCCAGCGAGGATCCAAAAGAATTCACAGTCGTGTTAATATGGCCATGGGTTGGTGCGGTTGCTGTTGGGGCCGTACACATTTGAATGCAACCGCACAACTCCTGACGTAGCAAAGAATTCGCACGTGAAAAACTTCGTCGCCCATCGCAGGAGCGATGCAAACAGGTGGAGAAGGCCGATCGCGATGTACAGCAGCACGACGCCGACAAGAATCACTTGAGATGGCGGCACTTGTTCAATCGGTTGGTTGGCCAAGCGAATGTCCGTCGCGGGAAATTTGGCAAACACGCCCTGGCGCGCCAACAAGTCGTCCATGTACAGCGGGTAGCAGACCAGCCCCACGGCAATCGACAGCGGGACGTACGCCAAGGCGGTCGTCAAGAGCGAAAGGGGAAACTTGACGACGACGAAGTAAAGAATCGCGCAGAGACTCTCCTTGGAGAAGTTGGTTAGGTCGGGCGAAATGCGGTGGCCACTCATGTGGTACAGCCCTTCGCGGGGCACGTCAAAGCTCACGACGATCGAGTCCTGCGCTGGTGCTGTGCAGTTATACAGACGAGCGTCGACGTGGGCAAGGACGTGGACAACATACAGGAGAATTTGCAAGATCACGAGGCCCAAGCAGCACAATGGAATGAGCCCGACGCCGAGAGCGCCAAGGAACACAACGGCCGCGAACGCAATCGTGGCAAACACGACATTGAAGGCAAAGTACACGATCAACAAGTACGTGTGTGGTTGCAAAGGGCATGTGATGGCGTACCAGATGAAGTTGTCGTTTGCCGTGGGAGGAGGTGGAGGTGGCTGGACCCACGCATACGCGCTTGGGAGATCTGTTGTGTATGTCTGCACAGGAGGAGCGTACGATGCGTAGGACACAGGAGCTCCTCCAGGCTGATTGATGCGAGAGCTCTCGCTCGGGTAGTATGGACGTGGCTGAGGCGGTGCGGATGGCTGGCTGTACATTGCGAAGTGGCGCTGGGAAAGTCACTCTGAACGGAAAGGTTCGAAAATTCACCAAAATATAGTCAAGTTTGGATCAAATTTGGGATTTTTTCAACCCAATTCACAGATGTGGCCGAAGGGGTGTACTGTAGAACAGTGATAGGTACTTCACCTGATCCTATGCTTCTGTGCCCCTCCCTACTAATACTGATATAGTAGTACTAACATATGCTACTATAACAATGCCGCCTCAGTCGAATGGTTTTCGACAGGAGATATCACAATCCGTCGACTTAACCGACCAAAATTGGTTCAACAAATATTTTTAATTCATTTTGCCATGTCCAAATTATCCAAACTAATACAGTACTACCTCTGTCCCTCTATACTGTGACCATTTGTATTCAAGGTGACCCCGAGAAGTCATTTCTTCTCCAACACTAACGAGTGACGCCTAGAAATTTTGATTATCATTGACACAAAGGCGCGAAAAGAAACATTTGAAGGCGGAATTGAATGGTGGCGAAACATGCACAGGGAAAATTTAAAAATATAAATAAAAGTACACAAAAATTGGGGTCTGTGTTCCAATTTTGAATTTGCCGCCATGAGCACAAGCCCCCGACAAAGACGTGAGCTCACCCAAACAATCAAGATGGACGACGTGTTCGCCCTGCAAGACGCCATCCAAGATGGTAAGCCCCGTCGCGGAGCGATACAAGACACTGCAGCACGGTTCGAGATTGGGCGTGCCACGATTCGCAAGATATGGCATGACTTCAAGAGAGGAACAATGTCCTCGAAGAAGAAAGGTCGTGTCGGCCCGAAGCCACGAAACACTCCCTCTGAGATCAGGGAGATGATCCAAGCCGTGCCAGAACAAGACCGCAGTACTTTCCGCGACATGGTCAATGCGGCAGGAA